GCTCTTAATTACTAAAAATCTAAAACAAATTTCCTTAGTTCTTTTCCGTAACTTGCTACTCTACTATTATTAGTAAATGAGCATAAGTTATTGATGAAATCTAAGAAACAGGGAAATTACAGTGAATGATTCATTATAATGGTAAAACTCCTCCATTGTCATTTAAAAAAAAAAAAAAAAGAAAACAACCTGAGCTCAGGGTTGAAAGTAACAACATAGTTTTTTGCTGTACTACAAAACTGGAAGGCGGGGATATTTGTCATTTGTTTGACAGAGTTCACATACTTGTGAGAGACCCATGAACAAAAGGACCAGAAGTACGTTAACGAACTTCCGTGTGATGCCAGTTGGTGGTCAGAGCGCCACAATTCTTCTATAGTTTCTAATTAAACTATTAACTAAACTAATATTCCCTTGCCACTGCTAACACACTGTCTCCCAAAGTACGATTATTTATAGTAGGGCCAATTCCATCACTGAGATTCTCAGACTTAAAATGCTTCTACTGGACAGACCTTCTGGTCTCTGGTGTCCATAAAAAGACCTGGCACATAGTAGGCACAGGGCTGCAAAGGACTGGGTTGCACTTGGAACTAGGCAGCTCTACCTCCTACAGCACTTCACAGATGCCAAAGCCTCGAGAAATGTACACCCAGATTTGGGGGGTGGGGGGATGTTTGTGCAACCTTTAACTTAGTAATAAACAGAAACTATGACTTAGAAACAAATACAAAACATGAAATCCACTGTGTGTGTGTGTGTGTGTGTGTGTGTGTGTGTAAGAGAGAGAGAGAAAAATACAGCCTCAGTACAGAACATCTAATACATAATGAAATGCATTTATGGAACACACTAAATGAAACAAGTCTGGATTATAATATTTGGTCTAATCCTCACATCTTTAAAATAAACTCCATGATGGCTGAATATAGTGGGAAATAATATTCTAGCTACTTAACCTGGAAGAGACAAAGCTGTCTCTGCAGACTTGGTGTTCACCTTTCTGAGTCTTAATGACTCTGCAAATTAGTAGCTTAACTCTATCAATTATAGTTTTTCCCATAGTTACCTTAAAAGTTTTGGTTTGGTTTTTTTTTTTTTTTTTTTTTTTTTCCATTTTCTATTGCTTTTTTTTATGGCTTCTTGCTGTTGTACTAGAGCATACAACACAGATCAGAGACTATTTCTCAGAGAAGTTTCTCTCTTGGAGAAATTGGCACTTTGATCCTCAGCTTATTATGTAACAGCTACATACACCACCACTGTCTCCAATCTTGCTGCTTCTGAAACTCCAGTGCTTTGGACAAAAGAGTGCCCTGCCATTAAACATGTCTTAGGTGAGCCATTCCTACCACTTAATTTTAAATTTAAACAAGTATCTGTGTGTGTGATATATATACATATTATAGCCTAAGTTTCTACACACATACACAAATTTAACTTCGTGAACGTGAAATGTCTCTCTTGAATAAAAAGCATTTATAAGGGTAGTAACACAAATGTTGAAAATATTTTACATTTAGACCATAAAATTTTTCAAGGTAATGTGATGACATAAGACCTAAGAGATCAAATACATCATATATGATTGTCATATATCCGAGTTGTGTTCATTGCTTATTTTTCTCTTTAATCAGAAAATAAAAGAGCTTACCTTTGTATACTGAGATCACAGCTTACAGTCACTATATCTCAGCCTATTTTATACAAGTGATATGGCTACGAAGGTCCGAGGAGAACGAGAATAAAGTGAGATAAACGTGCTGAAAACTGCTTAAAAGTATTAACCTGAAATACACAGAGGGTCCAACACCAGTTTTAAAAAATACATTAACGAGGTATTCCCAACTCTTCAATTAATAACGGTGACTCAAACATTCACCCAAATTTTTAAAAAAGAAAAGGCTAACACCAGCAAAATTCACCAGTGGTTTGTTCCCAGGTTAACAATTTGAGAGAGATTGCCCAACAGTATCGGCAACTACATAAACCTGACTCCTTGCTTCGCCTACTGTGCTCCACCTCAGCCACATGAGGTATGTTGGAGAGAGATCTGTGGGACCATTACCTGACTTGAGGAGTGGGGCGCTGTTGCAGCCCGGAGAGACACCAGCTTCCGGCCACAGCCCTGGTGAGGTGTCAGCCCCCACCAAAAGATATGGCTTCAAGGAGGACCCCTAACTCAGAGAAATTATAATAGTGCTAGCTGACCCAGTCAGGAATGTAGCTATTACTCCATTTATGTGCTAAAAAAGTTTAAAAAGTATCAGAAGATAGCACAGCTCACACATGAATTCTAAGTTCTACGTTGGTCTGTAAACTCCCTGACAAGAGCTACACTAAAGGGGCTAAGTACAGATATTGCTGGGTTTCCAAAGGAAAAGTTTTAAAACAGACACCGTGGCTTTGGACAAAGTATTGCTCTTCTTTAAAATGCTCAGTCAATGCTTTCAAAGAGAAGATGTCAGGTGGTGTATCTGAAAGCTGCAAAGCCTCAGGGTGTCACATTGCTCTTAAGACCAAGACACAGAAATTGCCATTTCAAGCCAGACAACCTGATGGTTCTAGAAGTCAGAGAAGAAATCTGGAGGGCCCAAGTGAATAATAAATGGTGCGACGCTCAGAGGCTGGCAATAGGGGCTGTCAATGAAAAAACCACCTACAGCGGAGAAAAGAGCAGAGAAGCAAAACTTCACATTAATTTCATACAATTTGGTGAAGCAAAGAGCTTCATTTATATTTCTCTGCTCTTTCAGCTGTAAGTGGAATTTTCATTACAAAATGGAGGGGTGGGAAGGGCAAAAGGTGGGGGACACTTAATTCATTACAGAATTTAAACAGTTGAACTTGCATGGTTACCACTTCTAACAAAGGACTGACAGCTCGATTATTTTAAGTAAAGCAGAGAAATGTAAAAGTTTGCAGCAACTGGGCAGGTTTACAACATGGTTAGTAACTTCCAACAAACAACAAAATTAAAGAAAAAAAAAAAAAAAGACTTGGTAGAAACCATTTGAAATGACTGCCATCATGTTGGAAAACAGCACAGCTCCCTTTTCTCCATCAGAGAGGGGTTATGAAGCAGAGTCAGCTACTTCAAAAGAATTTGCTGAAGAGAAATCTCCAGGGAGATTCCAAGTTGGAATCCAAATTTGACAATCAATTTCAAGTAACAGTAACAACTGCAGCTGCCAATTAATAGTATTCCAAAAACAAATCACTACTGTAAATATTTAATTAATAGAAAGTGGACACTACCAGCCATGCTTTTTCTTCTCAGTGATGGCTCTGTTTCATCCATAGGTCAGCAAAACGAATCAATGAAACATGAAAACCCCCAGCTGAAATGGGCTCTTGTTGTTTACGTCTAGCCACTAATGCACAGGATGACAATGATAAGTTACAGCTACTTCCAGCAAGTGATGAGGTTTTATTAAAGTATCACCCACCACTAAGAATAGGTCAAGGAGAAGAACCAAGTTATTATATAATACACATTTGAGGAATGACACCACAATTTGTTTTACACTGCCCACATCACCATTACTTAATGATCCCCCAAAAGAAAATTTGGCATAATTTGCAATATTTTATGAATCCCACTTTCACTGACGGGCACCACACTGCCCTGAAAAGTCTGAATTTAATATGGAAGAACAAAGCTCATTCAAACTAAAGACACAGCAGCTCGTCGGTATGGACGGGACTGCATCGCGGCCTTCATGGGGGTGAATACCTTAATGAAACCATTACCTTCTAGTAACATCATCGGCTTTCCAAACAAGTGAGAATGCGAGTGGAGACTTCAGTCTGCACCCTTCGCAGAATAGCACAATGTTACCAACTCATCAATTTCCATCAGCGGAATCAGGTGTCTTAAAAACAAATGCTGACCCATGGCTGAAACCTGTCACTTTCCACAGCAGCACTCAACAAGAACTGGGACAATTGAAGAGCAAGTTTTTATGGGGACCCTGTTGCTGCTTTAGATTCTGATATAATTGAAGAGGAAAAGAGACCCTTCAATGAATCCCAGAAAAATCTCTAACCTTCTATCTGCATGAAAAAGCCAGGGAGTGAACACAAAATCTTACAGAGTGAAGAAGGCCACAAGAACAAAAGAGGGTGATTGATTGATTAATTTATTTTTTAAAAACTTGGAAATTCATAAACTAAAATGATCACATTCCTCCTTCCCCATCTCTGGGTAATGCCATCATTTTAATAAGCAATGCTGGGGTAACAGAATGTAACCTCCATCATGGGAACACCCCTGTACAACCAGAGTACAAAGGGCTCACAAAGTACATAGCCTGGCTCAAACAATCCCCTTGCTTTGTTTTAGCAGTTTTCCTTACAGATGAATGAGCTTCTAGGGCTAAATTATTATTAATTTGCAATTCCTTCTAATCTGATACCAAAACATCAAAAATAATAAGCTAAAACAATATTCAAACCCATTTTATTGGCTTTAGTTACACACTTCAGTATTTACAAAGTTAAAGTTTAAATGAAAAGTCTCTATAAAAAAACCCAAAAAACTACAGCCCAAATTGAAGTGCCCTGGGGCAAGCAAATCTCCAGCAGCTGAGTACCAGCATCTGCAGTAGGAACCAGGCAGCACTCTGCGTTACAACAAAGCTGTTTATTTGTGATCAGTGTTTGAGACTCTGTACATCCTTCACAAATTTAATTTTACATAATCTGATACTCTCTTAAAACTTAAACTTTGAACTGCTAGACTTTTATTTCCCTAGAACATAAGGGCTGGTATAAATTATTTTCCAGAAATGAGGTACCGTTTCACAGAACTGGTTTCTTTCTTTCTTTCTTTCTTTTTTTTTTTTTTTTTGTCTGTTTTCAAGTTTTAAAGAACTAAATTTGCATTTGTTAAAATCAAAAAGTAGGAAAGATGTTCTTTACAAATAATTTTGATCAAGTATGTGTTCAAAGAAAGCAGGATAAAAAGGCTTTTTCTTTAACATTCTGTATTATACTGTACTGTTGTTCAATAGGAATGAGCTTCTGTCATTTGCTAAAAGAATGAGTAGTGGGGAACAGGATATGTTGGGAATTTCATAACGGGTAACAGAACCATTCTCTTGGGCAAACCTACAGAGAAAAGAAACGGAGAGGACTCCAAATAAGTTTAATACGCCAATAAAAATTTCAAGTCAAAAAGTATCTTACATTAAGTATCATTAACCTTTTCCAGATTCGTCAGTCAACATGTACCATTTTGAAAGAGGCCCACAAATATCTTATAGATCTCCTGTTCTGAAATCACTCTCATATGTTGATAAATAGTATTCTGTACTCAAAGCCAAGATGGTTACATCATAGGAAGAATGACATTCAGAAATGACAGTTCAGTGGACTGCCATAATTATATTCTAAAGATCAAAAGCAATGCTATTGATTAATACTCTAAAGTGACTCTACAAATCCATACTGGTTCTCAAGTTTGGCATATCACATATTAAAGGAGAAACAGGGATTGTCAAGATGTAAAGCACAGTGTTCTGTGGAGGCCTCAGCTCCCTGGAAGACAGCTCCACAGTTGTGACCAGGGGTTTGTTTATTTTAATGGATACTGCCAGTATTGGCGTGGCAAATCTGGAAAGATTAATTACTTTCTTAATTTTGTAATTAATACGTTCTTGTGGCCTCACAAACTTCTGCATACTCAGGCAGGATTTAAAATCTGCTCCTATTCCTATCTAATATTTAAGGTAAAGAGAAATCACAAAGCAGCAACAGCAGGTATTCAAGAGCACCAGATGATCAGAGGGAAGTTACCCCACATGCAACAGCTTTACAAAGGCCAAAAGACATATTTACCTTACAGCCAAAATAAAGCATTGTTTTAGTAGGTTTGCATCACAGTAACATTGAAAAACCAGATCTTTTATGTGAAAAATGGGGGCATCAAATTTCACCAGCTTTGGAAGTCAGTTATATGGCACATGAAAGAGAGAACCGAGGCTTAGAGGCCACAGGGTGAAAGTGTAATAATGTTAAAGGAGAAAAGGGAGGACCAAGAGTGAAAAATTAAAAAGACAGAAGAAAATATGAATGTAACTTGGAGCCTAGATATAAAATGCTTAAAAGCGACAAGGTAAGCTCTAGCAAACCTTTGTTGAAGAATCTCAACCTTACTATGTGACTGAAAGCCTCAAAAACCTTCCTCAGGAGTCCGATGTTCTGGCTTTCACACCAGATAGAGCAGAGCTCGCGCATCAAGTGTACTGTATGTGGACAAACCAACCAGACCTAGTTTAGGAAGGACAAGGGGGTCAGGGTGTTCAGTTTAGCTGAAGGGCAAATGCCAGCGTCCAGACTGACAGGTGCAAATGCATGCCAATAGGAAGGAAATGTGGGTGAAATCATACACCTGAAATCAGTTTCTAATTCACATTCGCACCTGCCCTGTATGGCTCCAGCTCAGAATACAGAAAGCCTATTATTTTTTTCAAGTAAGGCCACAGCTGAGAGTGCAACAGATGATACTAGGAAAGGCTTGAAGTCTAGGACACGTACTTTCTCCAAGGAAAACTCACTCTGAATGTGTGGCCCTTGCTATTTCTCTATCTCTGTTCAGAATATTAACTGTCTATCTTAACAGGCAAAGAGGTCAAACTATTCACTTTCTACTTATTTTTACAATTAGGAAATCAGATGAAGGTTCAGTTTAACAATGTTGTAAAGACCCATCATTTTCATCCAAACAAAAATGGCAAAGCTGAAGTATGAAGGGAAAATATGATGGTCGGAGGCTCAAGGAGAGGATTCGTGCCACAGACAGCAGTATGTGAAGGGCCTTTGTCTTCTGTGACCATGCACGTCTAGCCTGGGGCTGTGCTGAACCACACGTCCATGTGTACGCTACGTGCACACATACACACGTACACTCATGTTCTTTCCCATCTCTCTGCCCCCCTCTCTCAATGACAAACATCTTGCAGATGGCTGATTTATAACATGTAGCACCTGAGTTGGGAAAAATGTCTAAGAGCATATCACTGACTCCAAACCTACTGCCTCCATTGCCACATAAACCTCATTCAAAAGTTATCCAAAGGGCCATAGGGGTATATTTATATAGTTGCTCTTATTTTTTATCTTTGGGGAAGAAGAGACATCTATGATTTCCTAGCATACACTACTGTCTACATAAGGAACTTAAGGGACACTATTCATAAAGCCCCATCCTCTCCAGGACCGATGACATCCATCGCCAAAAAGCAAAATGCATAGAAAAGGGTGATGGGTACAAATTGCTGACTGAAGTTACCTATAGTCCACACATTCCCAAACCAGAAATTTAAATGTAGCTAGGTAACTGGAGGCAGTCAAGCTAGAGAACAGGTATGGCCCTTCAGTAGCCTTTGAATAGAGTATAAGTTGGCTGTAAGAATTACTTAAAAGTATTTAATTTCAATATGGTCAGAAACAGGCAATTAGAACAAGCAGTCCTTCAGTCAGGCAAAGCGGAGAGAAGAGCAACTCCAACCAAACCAAGAACCACAAGGTTGTGGCATTTTCAAAGGGAATTTAAGTTGGGTCACTAGAATGATTAGGTTTGAGGTCCTCCAATTCATTTACTGAAAGCCTGGACACAAATGTGCTTTGGGTGGCTGTGACAGATTCACTAAGAGAAGAAATCAGTAAGATGGTGTACATACCATAGGCAGGAGCAGCTGTGCTGTAACCATACGGAGTGCCATAGCCTAGTGCAAAGAAAAAAAGAGATCAGTTCAAGACTGAGGGCAATACTGAGGACAAGCGGCAGTGGCCCACTTCAAGGCCACCACCTCGCCTAGCGCCCCAGGCCCGAGAACTTCTCTCTGAGACTGAATGCCAAGAGCCATTCCACAGCCATCTTGTGGTATGGCGGCTCTCAGTGCCTGCTCTCCCTCCTGGTGCGCTGTGCATATTCAGATGCCTGTTCCCACCTGTGTGACCCAAGCCTTCACTGCGGTGGAGCACAGCCCTAAGTCAACCTTGCATGCCCAGCTTTCATTCTGCTGCGTGAGGCAAAGCTTTCACACGTACGCTAAAGAAATGCACTGCTTTTAGGCACTAAACCAAAACAACTGCAGACAGAAGACAGTTTTCTGACTTTTAGTCTATATTTGAATCATACACAACTTGAAGTAGTACAACTCAGTCTTTGTGCTCACTAAATCACTTATTTTCAGAGAACACAATACAGCTAAAATGAACAGTAGAACAGAAGGTGGTAGCAGAGGCCAAAAGAAAAATTAAAGCTTTAAAAAGAAGCCTGTACATCAACTCTAGTCCAGGAAATGAGAGCTGTTTTATTATGCCTGCAGTTTCCAAGGTTTTAACAAAACCTCCTTAAACAGAGATGAAATTGCTAAGCAAGTCACTCATCAGGCCCCTGGGATTCTTACCCTGACTTCATTTTTTCCTGGAAATGTGTTTTTGAATTGTCCATTATTATATATGATAAAAGCTTTGCCCTTCCCATAATGTAATACATGCTAATAATGCTAAAAATATTAAATATCAGTAGAGAAAGTGAGATACACAAAAGAATCTGCCAAGAAACTCACACAATTGTTTCCCTTTAGTGCTTACTGTTTCCTGTTTTCTAGATAATTAAACAGGGCCCTTATCCTAGTCACTTCCTCCAAGGCACTGCCCTTGGCCTCATTCTTTTTCATTCCATGCACTCTACCCATCAAGTCTACTCTTTACCTACCCCTTCAGTCTCTTCACAACTGCTGCTCATTTAGCCCTCAGCATCCCCTGGCCTCCTTGGTCAGGCCTGCGTAACTCATCTACAACAGCCTTCTACCTGGTCTTGGCGTGCCGATCCCTGGCCCTACCATCTATTCTTCACAGTACAGAAGAAACCTTTTCAAATAAAGCCAATCTTGTCATTTCTTTGCTTCATGAACTTCCACTAAGGATTCAAATACCACCAAATCCGAGCAGTCACCTCCAGATCTAGGTCTGGGCACCCACTTTAACCACTTCACTCTTAGCGTCACTGGTTTGCACCCTAGCTATCCGAAGCATCCCTCCAGCAGGTGTCATTTCAAACAACTGATTCTTGTGTTGAATAAATCTGATAAAATTGTTTTTATATTTCGTGTTTTAAAAATATGCAAATTTTGGTCATCCTGGGTTCTTTTTTTAGCACAGGGCCTACAGGGTCTCACTATACAGATCGGACTCATAGTGATCCTCCTGTTTCAGCCTCCCAAACGCTGGGATTATAGGTGTGCACCACCACACCTGGTCTCAATCACCCTCTCAGTGTGCCCCAGGGGAATGGGCCCGCACAGCATGCTGGAGATCGAACCCTGGTCCCTGCACCTGCCTAAGCAGGTGCTTTAATCCACTGAGCTATCCAGCCAGCCACATCCTATACTTTAAAAACTCAACTGGTAAGTGGTACATATAAAAATATATGATAAAACAGTAAGTTCTAGATGAAAAGTTCTCATTTTTTCTTTTTGTACTTCACCCCAATAAAAGTTTCTTAATCATTTTTCTCTCCTGGTACACTCAACCCTTCTTCTATGTCCTCAGAAAACACAAACTGCTCGATGTGCAAAGCCCTGGATCTGTGGAGCATCTTTAGATTCCATCAAAATGTCTTCCCCCAACCAAGGGTAATCCTGTTCATCCTGTTATCTCCTCAGAAGGCTCTAGCTACTCAACGGATTCCAGGAGAAAAACTATGGCATTCTCTTCTTTTGAAGTTGTGTATACTCATCTCCAAACCCTTGCAAAATGAAGGACATGCCGCCCCTGAAACTCGAGCTCAGGACAGGCAGCACCTACCTGGAGCTATGTAGCCAGGAGCAGCCGCAGCCCCAACAAAAGCTCCCCTGGTCAGAGCACCTCTGCCTCTGCCTCGAACCGCCTGGACTGCTGCAGACACAGCTGTGTTCACAACACCTTTTGCCTTTAAAAATGAACAAATAACATATTTTCATCATTGAAAGAACAAACTACCAACTTTTCATCCCTTTAACAAACTGCCATGAGAAACAATGTTTCTACCACACAGAAATGACACCTACCTCACAGAGCTGTTCTAAAGACTACACTGGGCATATAAAGTAACTAACATTTTCACCCTCAAAAGAATTTGTATTTTACCACAAATTTAAGTAGTTGAATTACATTCCAAGTCATTTTAGACCTGACTAAAGTAATTATAGGCACTGGATACCCAGGTTCAAAAGTCACTGGACTTTCTACTCAAGGGCAATCTATATCCCAGTAACCAATTATCTAGCATTAGCTGTAACCCGAGTAGGGTTGAAAAAAGAACAGGCGGGCTGCGGAGTTAGCTCTGCACTCTAAGTGCCTGCATGGTAAGTGCAAGGACCAGGATTTCATTCCTCTGGTACCGCAGGCCTCGGGGGCAGAGCCAGCTGCCAAAACCAGGTATGGTGGGTGGCGCAGGCCTGTAATCCCAGTGCTGGGGAGGCTGAGGCAAGAGGATCACTATTGATAAAAGCTGCGCAGTGAGACCCTGTACCAAATAAATAAATGCAAGATTAAAAAAAAAAAATTAAAACAAAAAACAGAACAGGCTAAGGCAGGAAGACCAAACAAGAGGATGGCATGTCTCCATCTGTGACCTCAGGAAAGTCACAGGAATTTTTTAAGCTTGTTTATATTTTACTATATTTACATGTTGCCTATCTTTTTGCACATCAATTATTAAATAAGCACCACCTCCAAAATCCCTTCTTACTCTAAAATGACATGGAACACTGGTGAAGTCACATAATAGCTTTCTCTGGCAGTCTTCTCACTAACTGTAAATTGAGGGTAATGACCCACTCCGTTTTGCTCACTTTCAAAAAACCAACTGAGAAAAAAGAGACATGAAAACACTTCAAAAAGAACTGAAAACTTAAGATTAAATTACATCAGATTTTTAATTATGCTATTATATTATTTTTAATTACACAAATATATTTTAGTATAAAATGCAATAAAAAGTTCAAAGTAGAAACTCTAAAATTTCATACCCAGGTATGAGAAAAGTGGTAAACAAGTCAACAGTCTCAGAAGCTACTACAGTCAAGGGGCTGGGGAGATAGCTCAGTGGAGTAAGTGCTTGCGAGTTCAATCCCTGGGACCATGGGGGGGGGGGCCTACTACTACAGTCAGAAAGCACGCGTGCCCATCTCCCATGGAAAAACCACCCTCCTCCTCCCCCTTCCGCAATGACCACGGCCTCGGCTATCATTAGCCAGAATCCCCTGTAAGGTCAAGTGTATCATGCACAGAGACAATCATCTTTCTTTCTGACTGAAATAAGCCAACCAACCCAACATCCAAAGCAGACTGCTTCTTAACTGTCAAGCATACTGAACGAACTGTTTTTTAGCTTCTAGTATGGAAAAATTCTAGGAGTGAATTTTTTTTTTTAAAACATAGCTTAGTTGAAAGTAGCCACGAAGAAATGATATGATGGCAGCAGAGTGATTCCACACAGATATAACCCACACTACCAGGCACAAACTTAACTGCCTAATAAATACTGACACCTAGACTTACTAAACAATAAAATTAACTGTCTAAATACAAGATATAACCCAAGAGAAAAAAAAATAAGGTAAGAATGACCTTTCCACTTTGCTCTATACTTACTAAAAGGTTTTAGAAAAAGATCTAATTTTCTACACATGTAACACTTTTTATGCAATTTAAAAGCTTTATTTTTATTTACTCTCAGTAAAAATTAGTTTTGTTTATACTATGACTCCTAGAATTCAACAGTGTTTATTACAGTTGATACAAGAATTTAGACAATACAAAACAACTGTCTAGATGGATATAACATGCGACAAAAAGAACAGTCATGGCCTTTGTATGGAGAAGATCCAGTCTAAAAGGCAACCCCTACCCTAAAATAGCTGTGTGACTGGACATATTTCCTCTTAAAATGAAATCAGTAAACTGCATACATAAAGACTATAAATGTTTAATATATAAGTTTAGTATAAAGCTACTTCTATTCAGATAAGCATTTTTAATGTATTTGTTTCTATCACACACTATATTCAGATGTTTCTATTCCATCAGCACCTCCGTGAGGCAGACAGAAAATGTCTTAAATTGACCTACATACCCTTTTTTCCTCATACAATCAAGTACATGGTACCTGTATACAAAATATTTTTGATACATAAATGGAAGAATCTTCTATCAAAAGGCATGTAATTAGGAAGCCTGTGCTATCCAAATTCCTTCCAAAGGCCTTCCCACTGCCAATAATTCAAACAAGCAGCACCAGAGTCACCTTTGTGCCACACACAGAAGCAAGCCCCAGATGAGCAACGCAAAGGACGCAGAAGGGAGGGAGGGAAGGAGGGAGCGAGCGAGCAGCTGCAGGCTCAAAGAGGATGAGCCTAGGCATATGAGGCAGCCTGCGGCTCTGAGCAAGACAAAAGCCACAACTACAGAGAGCCTATCTCACCCCAACATCTTACCTTATCAAAAATAACCTCAACTTGCCCAATAATGCTAACAGCCTCTCTTTTATAATTTGCCAAAAAAAAAAACCCACACCTAGAGAAGGGACTCACCAATCCTAATGGCCTAATTCAGAGAAAAGCCTGTCGAATGCATGAAAAAGAACTAATTTCTAAAAAAGCTAAAGCAATACACAAATGGGAATTTAATTCTTATAGCATTTTCCAAAGCCATTACAAAGATTTTGCTTAACTCTTATCTATTTATTTATTTTATTTATTTATAAATGTATTTAGTACAGGGTCTCACTACACAGAATGACTCAGTGATCCTCCTGTTTTCAGCCTCCCAAGCGCTGGGATTAAAGGCGCACACCACCACGCCTAGTCTCAGTTACCATCTCAGCGCGCCCTGCGGGCAGGGCTGGCGCAGCACACTGGGGATCAAGGTTTTGCTCTACTCTTACCTGAGGAATAATCTTCTTTTTCTTATTATTTGCTGCATTGGGTCCAGAAAACAGCTTCTCCAAAGCAGCTAAAGCTGCACTTGCCTTTGCCACTTTCTTATTTGGACCTGCGCCTCTGAATTTCTGTCCGTCTACTTCTACCTGAAATCAAGAATACCACTTTGCAATTATCCCATGCAATTACTCTATAAAGTTGTAACATCCCATAACAAGGAGAACACCAGAAATTAAGCCGTTCCAAAAGAACTGATAGAGCCTACAACTTTTTACATGTCAGTCCAGGATATCCTGCCTGGGAGAAGAGTGCGAGAGCGGCATGTATCTAGGCACACACCTCCATTACAAAGCGCTTGTCGTGGCTCCCACCAGTCTCTGAGATGAGTTCATACTTGAGCCCTCGTCTTTTTTCATTGAGCTCCATTACAGGGTTTTTGCCACTTGCTGTGAGGATAGGGCCCTGAGTTCTTACCTAAAAGACAAAGGAAGCTGTAGGGTCAATCAAGTAATTATTTTTCTTTAGAATTTTTATTTTTTACTGGTACATGTATATAACATCTTAATTTCAATTAAGTTTAGTAAGAAATTTAATACTCTACAGACTCGCTTGACTTTAGAATATGACACTTATTCACACAGTTATGCTAAAAGAAAGCTCAAAAATTGTAATTTACAACACTTGAGGATTAGAATAAGTCACCTTTCTATACTGATGGCAAAAATATCATCAAAGGAGTGAAAATTCTTCAAGGAGTAAACGGTCAGTTATCTGGCCAGCCTGCCTTCAAACACAGGTTCCAACAGACCAGTATTCAAGATCAGTATATCCCTGCCTGTCAGTCATCCAGGGTCATCCTGATCATGACCTAAAAAATAACGCTACATGACTGGCAAAAGGGCAGAGCTAAGATTCACGTGATGCCTGTGTATTTGCTGTTTTTCCATATTTAGGTTTAGAATTTGGGATATGGGAGGAATCGTTCCTATAAACTTCTCAATCTTTCTTAAAACATGTAACAGCATCTAAGTAAGGCTACAGATTATGGACTTTTGAAACTTAACAACAATAAATTTGGTCATTCCTCGCCTTCATGAAGCCAGTGTGTTCTGGAAAGGATGGATTAATCACCATGAAACAATCCATGTTTGAGCACAGATGAATGCTGTGAGAGCAGAGCAAAGGGGGTTACTTTCTAGTACAATCACATACAGGGGAATTGACATAAATCCAGTCTTAAAAAAATGGAGTATCAGACCATCAGCAAGAGAATCATGGGAAAAGGGCAGCATGACAGGTAAAATAGCAATGCAAAGGCCCAAGAGAGGCAAACAACACTGGAGAATGTTGGAGAGTTCAGTTTGACAATATAAGGAAAAAAGGAGAGGAAAGTGGTGTGCTAGGGCCTCATTAGAAACATCCTGGGTGGGTCCTAATTACATGAAACTTTGCAAACCAAGGAAATGAGCCTTGACTTTATCATGAGCTGTGGGAAGCCACTCAAAGAGTTTAACCTGGAAAGTAACAGGGTTAGATTTGGCTTGTAGAAAAGCCACTCTATTATTGGTACAAATAACTGCCATAAGAAGGCTAAGATTAGAAGTACAGGAAAGAAGTAACCCATGTAAGTGTGAAGATTAACATGCAGAAAGAAGCTAGCACCATAAACAAATGAACAAAATCCATAAAGAACTAAAAGTGTGATAAAGGACAGGCTCAGAGATTGAGCACTTTTAGTTCAGGAATCACATCTGTAATTTCATTATAGTAATTGTTCAAAAATGCTGAACAAACAAAATGAATGTCTAAAAGTACTATTATGCATAAAAACCTAATTGATATTAAGATGTACTTAATATTCTGTGGCTTAGATAAGCTACTGAAGTGAAACAATAGGCAATTTTCAAAAAAAGTTTAATACACATTAATGGATCTTTTGCAATAAGCTCTCTTCTTGATACCTTTTTTATAATTTACATTGTTAATTCCATGGCAAATTTCTACTCTCCTTTTTTCTTTTTTGGCGGAACTGGGGGTTGAACTTATTCTACTGAGCCATCTCCTCTGCCCCTACTCTCCCTTTTAAAACTAACTTTTTGGCAGTTGGCTGGCGGTGGTTGCGCGGTTGCCGCGCTGTGAGATCTGCGGGCGCTGGCAAATCGGGCCCAGGATGTAGAGCGGCTGTGCCTGACGGGGCGTCAGATGCGAGCTCGGGTGGGGTAGAGAGTAGGGGGCGGTAGTTGGGGGTGGTGGGAGGAGGCGGCGAATCACTTATAAATGGCGCCCAAGCAGGACCTGAAGCCCAAGTTCCAGGAGGGCGAACGAGTACTGTGCTTTCATGGCCCTCTTCTTTATGAAGCAAAGTGTGTAAAAGTTGCCATAAAGGACAAACAAGTAAAATACTTTATACACTACAGTGGTTGGAATAAAAATTGGGATGAGTGGGTTCCAGAAAGCAGAGTGCTCAAGTAT